GCCAAGGCACGCCGAGGGCGTGCGCTGTCCACCACAATCGGGGCGACGACGTTCCGCGGGCGTTTCGACTACCCGGGCTTTAGCCGTCGCCTTGATTCGTGCTGGTCCGTGCCCCGAGTCGATCGACGGACCGGCTCGTCGCAGTTCCACATCTGACCAAGACGCATTGTCGACCCCCATCCGCTTCCCTCCCGACAATTTCAAGCACTCTTTGACTTTTTTTTTTCAAAAAAATCGTTCGTCTGACTGGGTATAGGGGCGAAAGACTAATCGAACCATCTAGTAGCTGGTTCCCTCTGAAGTTTCCCTCAGGATAGCTGGAGTTCGGGCGCGAGTTCTATCGGGTAAAGCCAATGATTAGAGGCATCGGGCGCAACGATACCGGGCTCTCAGAGTCGGGTAATTGGAATGAGTACAATCTAAATCCCTTAACGAGAATTCATTGGAGGGCAAGTCTGGTGCCAACAGCCGCGATAATTCCAGCTCCAATAGCGTATATTTAAGTTGTTGCAGTTAAAAAGCTCGTGGTTGGACCTTGGGTTGGATATACCGGTCCGCCTATGGTGTGCACCGGTCATCTCGTCCCTTCTGCCGGCGATGCGCTCCTAGCCTTAATTGGTCGGGTCGTGCCTCCGGCGCTGTTACTTTGAAGAAATTAGAGTGCTCAAAGCAAGCCTACTGTCACGGGCCTAGTTTCGTTACACCCGAACAAACTAGAACCGTGCGGCCTTAACGTTCTACAATTCCCGCACCTCACGAGAAAACGTTAAGTCAGCCTTTCTACGCCCACAAATAATTTAACCAATGAGGCTAAATTATACCCACGTTGAGAAGAGAATTTTGAAGTAAGTAATATATGGAAAACAAGTAAAGGATGGGGAAACTTTCTTTATATAAATGAAAGGAAAAACTTTACATTCTCTCTTGAAAGAATAAACTCACTCACTCTACATTCTCTACCATCTACTACACACCATTTACAAATGAGACTACACCTCTATTTATAGGAAAACTTAAACCTCCTTAACCTTCAACTTTACAACTTGCGCTTAGTTGTCACCACCTCGTGCTTAGTTGTCGCCAACTCATTCTTAGTTGTCTTCAAGTGGATGGTATTACAACTTGGCCTTGCAAGTTGTCGCCAACTCGTGCCTAGCTTGCATACAACTCGCGCCTAGCTTGCATCGTTGATATTTATCCTTGCCAACTCGTGCTTAGCTTGCATACAACTCGCGCTTAGCTTGCAAGTGACACACAAGTGGACAAGTTGTGCAAGTTGCCAACTTGCATCCTCAAAATATCCGGCTGCAGGTTCATGTATTTTACCTCCCAAAATGGCTAGGTCGAGACTTAGAAAAACCTCATTAATACCCAAAAAAATGCATGATCTAGGTAGCCTGCATTCTGCCCCAAAACAGTCCACTTGCGTCCTCAGCCTGAATCTGCCTGCATCCTTTGCCGAATCTGCTTGCGTCCCCTATCGCAAGCTGTTCCGTCTTTCTGAAACGCGTTACCCGCACTATCTTCCGATCGCTACCGGGACGAATCGGTCACGACCGCGTGGCGTTAGTTACTCCCCCACTGAATTTGGCGACGCACTCATCGCCTTGTACCGCCGAAACATAGACCTTATTTGCCATAAGTCTATCTCGTTTTCCCACCTTGTGCCATGACATTCCCGTGTCATGCCAAGCCTTAAGTCATGATCTTGCAATTCGTGACATTCTCCCCCACTCAATCCGCTAACGCCCTCGTAGCGAAACATGTTCGGTGCATCCTCATGCAACCTTGCATTGTCTTTCCTATCCATAGGCATCAAAGTTCTCCCAACTTGTGGCACCATCTCCTCGATGACCGGGTTTCCACAATGCCCCTTGCACCTCTTCCCGTTGCAACCTCTTGCATGCCACTTTCGACACCTACCTTCACCCTCAGCACCTCTGCCTTGGTTCCTTGGATGAACAACTCCTCTGGTTGTAGTGTCCCTACACTTGTCGAAGCTTTGAACCTATGTGCACCCAATTTCAGACTTCTTTGACAATGCTTCCTCACTTTCCTTCTTTTTCAATAGTTCCCTCGGCAACTCCGCGAGCATGTCCTTATCATCTTCAAGGACTTCCGCTAACTGCATCCCTGACAGTTGTTTTGTTTCCATCTCCACAGAAACATTTTCAGCACTCATGGCATTAAACAACTGGAAGGAATTCATTCGAACTTCATCTTCATCTTGGCTATCTATGGCCTCCGGTTTGCTCTCCGAAATGGAAATAGATGCTAATGATGCCAACATAGGACAATCCTTCCTGAGATGTGGTCCTTTGCAAATAAAGCAACCTCGAGGTGTAAAATTACTCCTCTTCCTCTCATCATACTGCTTACTCCAAGTAGTTGGTTTGTTGCCAACGGGTTTGTAATCAACTTTGGGATTTGCCCTCCAATCCG